TTGTTATTTTGGCCTGAGCTCTCCCTGAAGCCATTTAATCAGACTCCCAGGAAAAGAAACTTAAAATATGGCAGAAAATAAACACCTTAAATGCCATTTTGACTCCTCCTTCATTGTCTAGATTTATGTTAGTCCCTTTAAACTCCTAGACCAAGCCAGGGGACGTAACACTTTGTTTGTGAAAACAAGTAACAAATTCAGCTCTGTCAGCAGGTAGATCCATATATAAGCTAATTATTCTCTCATGGTGTCCAGGTTCTGTTTGAAATGATCAGCTTGTTGAACAATTTTAACATGAATATTTTTATTAACAGTCTGAATCAGCAGCTGTATAAATGTTACACTGATGGTTCAGTTGTTCAGGTTCATTTATGGTTCTGATGTTTACTAAAATTAACACATTTGTGTTTTTTACTGAAACATAACTACAGCTTCTTAAGATAAAATGTGTTAAAGTTGGTCTGTGAGTGTGTTCACGTTTTACAACACATTTTTATATTTCTTATGTTGAAATATAATAAATAAATAAATAAAATAAATAGGTTTGGGTCAAATGAAATAATTTGGCCTGAAATTAGAATCCATGGGTTTTGTTTATTATACTAAATGTTAAATCAAATAGCCTATACGTCCCTAAATAAAACACTAGTATATTCAATTTAAAAATGAAACCTTTAGATGTGAATCAGAGCTCTACATTTGACTTTGAGGAAGGAGGAAGTTTTAGTTTTGTTTCATTTGATGATCTGTTAGTTTAAAATCTTACAGCAGCAGAACTAAGATGACACACAAATAATGTTTCAGTCACGTTGTAACATGTTCAGTCTCACCAGGTAAAGAAAGAGCTTCTTCTGCTGCGTTCACACCGAATGTGATTTCAGCGTCAACATCACGTCCAACGCTTCAAGTTGGACGTTTGTGCACTTTGAGGCCAGATACAAGTCAAAATTGCTCTTGAAGCTCTTGACGCGCTTAGAGAGCCTCCCTGCCCCCTCCCTCCTCTGTCAGTCTGTCCTCCTCTGTCGATCTCTGTTTAATGTCGGATGAAATAAAGGAAGTGGTTTTGCTTTATTTACTGAGTGCAAGAGAACGGTGAGCTCATCAGATAATTAATTCATATTTAATTCACCTGATAATTCAGAGACGTTCTGAGTTTGGTGAGTTTCATTACCCAGGAGCTGCGAGCAGACAAGGCTTTCAGATCTGTTTTTGTCCCGAGTCCAGTTTTTGATGAGCCGCTGATCTGCATCGGTGCTGATATCTCTGTCAGGACACCGACTGCAGGCACTTGTTTTCAGCTAAAGAGCTCCTCTCCGTCTGTTTCAGGTTAGTGGACATCATTCTGTCCCGTTGGAGAATCTGTCACTATGTCACACAGTGGAGTATTTCTGTCTGATTGGTTGATGCGGCGCGTCGAGCTGCAAAAGTTCAGATTTTCTAACTTCAGCGATTTGTGCGTCAAGAGCGTTGAACTCTCAAATCGCGCCGCAGCACTTCCCATTGGGCGTGCATGTAAACCTGATGCTCCTGACGCTGAAATCGTGTTCGGTGTGAATGCAGCATTACTGACAGGTTAAGATAAAACTGTGTTCAGTCTCTGTTGCCGTGGTGACCTGACCAGGCCTAAAGAAATACTTCTTTGTGACTCTGAAAACTTTAAATTTAGCAGTTGTCTGATCTGTGCTCTTCAGTTTGTATCCAGCTGTCTGATCCTCTGACTGAGCATGAGAACCTCATGAACATTAAAGTCTCTGAGTGGAAGAAGAGCTCATCAGTTAATTTAAACATGGTTACTCTCTTCCTTGTACTTTAACTTGTCAAACAACACATCATGCAACACATGCTCTGGTATTCGGATATTGTATAAATAATGATAATGGTGGGCCGACAAGACCAAAAAATGCCCGGGCCGTTTTTTTGTCCCAGTCCAGCCCTGAGTAGGATCATGCCACATCACACTAAGTTTATTTAAAATAAATCCATACATGTCAACTTGTACGGATTGTCCGTAAGTTATAAGGATTTTATGTCATTTTGCAGGTATACGGACATATAGAGCAATCTCACAGATTTTTTCAAAACCGTCCGTATTCTGCCACTTATCTGGAATCGGGTCTCGGGGGCAGCAGCCTGAGCAGAGAGACCCAGACTTCCTTCTCCCCAGCCACTTGGGCCAGCTCGTCTAGGGGAATCCCAAGGCGCTCCCAGGCCAGCTGAGAAACAGTCCCTCCAGCGTGTCCTGGGCCAAAACCTCATTTTCAAATTTATCTAACATGTCAGAGCCTGTAAGATGATTTTAAAAACAATAAACAATATCAAACAGCCATCTTCCAACCTGTTCAACTGCTAAAAATAAGTTCAGAACTTTTCCTGTCCTCTTGCTTCGCAGCAGGCGCTTTCATGTCTGCAGCACCCCCACCCCACAGCGGGTGCGCGCAGCTGCAACCTCGGTCAGGTGAACACCTCCTGGGAAAGCTCTTAGCATTTCCTGGACCATTTTCCACTGAGGATTATGTATGTATGTATGTATGTATGTATGTATGTATGTATGTATGTATGTATGTATGTATGTATGTATGT